CTATAACGAGAAGCTGTGTGAGACTGTGTTCACTATTTATTGTATATACATTGATATGGGTACAGAATTGTAGAAATGTTCTTGCGACGCAAATGGTTTATTCTTGAGTCGTATACAAGAGTATAATAAGGAAATAAAAGTGTGCGGGAAATACCTAAAGAGGAATAAATTCCTGTGAAATGGTGTTAAACATTGCTTTGGAATCCTTCACTCATACGCAAATTGAATTGATTTACTGTTGATAAACAAGCCACTGCTCGTTGTTATGATTATGGTAAAGTGGGATGGTATGCAGTAGCGGAAAAAAAAGAGTTAAAGTTTAAGATTATTTAAGGCAATCCAGGTATAATTGCCGAATAAGTAGTTTAGTATTCAGCCTAACGTTAGATATCGAATCTACTATTTTTCCTTCTCACCATTGATAATTAATTCTTCGCTTTGATAATGTCATCATCATTACTGTAGATCTCTTAATAAATATCCTAATGAAAGAAGCAACTATGATTTCTTTGATCCAAAACTAAAGGGAATCGAAACATGTTTTTCTCCCTGTTATTACAGAGCAAGAGTGCGTATCGAGATGGAGGTTGATAGAGAAATCAACGATGTAGAGGATCAGTTGCGAAATAATTCGCTGGAGGAAATAGAGTCATGTTCCTCGTCAATCCTCGATTCACCCAGGCGTGATGATGTCGACGATGTTTACGATGATGACGACGATTATGAGGACGGTATTAACGTTACTCTATTGTCGGTATCTGCTGCTGCTAAGTCCCACGAGGAAATTTATGGAAGTAAGAAGATGCGAAAGGAGTTCAATGCTCCTACGGCAGTTGCTGCTGCTATTGATGCTAATGCTGCTACTGCTGCTAATACTGTTACTGCTGACAATTCTGCTCAGCTCAATTCCAAGGGCCCTGGAACACCCACGGAGGTTGTGACCCTATCCGATAAAAAGCCCAAGCAACACGGCTTGTCATAAAGAAGTTGAAAATACTTTGTAATGACTAACGCAAAGAATCACTAATACTTTAATATACATCATTTAATACATTTAATACAACCTAAAAAGCGCAAGACGCGGAGCTTATACAACTAAAAACTGGTCTTATAACATGTTTTGGAAACATCATAAAAACCAGCGACAAACATTTTCTTAGAATTTTGATATCTTTTTCCAATATTTTTAGAAAAATCAAAACGTAATTATTTTTTTCGGAGCGGTGAGCTTCCCCTTAAGCGCTGGAATAGGTTTTTGAGGTTTTTTCAAAATTTTTGTGAGTTTCCAAAAGGGTTTGGAGCTCGGGTCTAATTTAGAAATATTATTTTCAAAAGTTTTGTTCCTCAGGGCAGAGAATTGCTTTTTAATTTGTTTTTGCAAATCCCGCCAGATAACCTTCATGGCAGGATCGCGTGTTCTTTGATATTGTCTCCTACGGACATTTTTAAGACGGATCAAGAGCTGAAGATCGTCGTCTATTATAATTGAATCGAATTTAACCTCGCATTTTGGTACTGAGGCAGCTCTTACTTCAACTATAGGAGCATAATTAATTTCATCTTTGGTTTGCAAAGGAATGTTTGGATCGAAGTTATATTCCATAAATGTTCGATATTGCTCCCAATCAGCCCTATGGTAATTGAAAGTAAAGCTGTTGGGATTAGAAATTATTTCTTGGGATTTTTCAAAAGTTACTGGAAGGTGATCAGAACCGAAGTCAGCATGGGTAACCAGTTGGCTACAAAGTTGACATGAATCAGTTAAGACCAAATCAATAGTGGAGGGATTTCTTGCAGAAGAAAAGCATGTTGGGCTGTTTGGATATTGAATAGTGTAATAACCTGCAGAACAATCATCAAACAGAATATTACCATTGGAATTGCTTTGAGCATTATTCCATGAGCGGTGTTTTGCATTAAAATCACCAATAATGAAGAATTTAGACCTATGACGGGTAAGTTTCTGGAGGTCACCCTTGAGAAAATTCTTTTTCTGGCCTACGCATTGGAATGGCAAATAGGCAGCTATAAACATAAGTTGTCCAAATTTTGTTTCAACAGAAACTCCCAAAGTTTCAAAAACTTTGGTTTCAAATGCAGAGAGAATTTTATGTTTGATTCGTCTATGAACAATGATGGCAACGCCACCACAGGGTCCATCAAGACGATCATTTCTATAAATCAAGTAATTTGCGTCCTTCTTAACATTATGGTCAGGTTTAAGGAACGTTTCAGTTATAACGGCAATATGCACGTTATGAACTCTCAAAAAGTTAAATAGCTCGTCTTCATTATCTTTAAGAGATCGAGCATTCCAATTTACAATATTTAATGCTTTAAAATCCATTACTGAATTTAAAGTCATGACAATATTATTTGCAAATTTTACTCCAGTTTGAATAGCATCAAACATGGAGTTAGATTTAAGCATATCAGAAATCATGTCAATTAATGATTTCGGTAAAAATTCCATTTTAGGGGCAGTAATGCTTCCTAAGTCAAAATTGTCAAAATTTCCGTTAGAACGGTGGTTAGTATTTTGATTTCTACCCGCTGCAATAGCAGCATAGGTAGCTCCATTAGCTCGCTGAACATTGTTAGCAGCGAGGGGAGTAGGTACAGATGAAACATTTGAAGCAGGGGTGATATTTGTACCTACGGGTACGAATGTAGAATTTGTTCCTCGCTGACCGTTGTTAACAGCAGAGGAATTTGTACCTGGTCGGAAACGTGGAGCGTTTCTTACCTGTCGGTTAGAACGAGATTGTAGGATCGCTTTGCGAGTCTTTCATTCCCAAAAATTGGATTTGTGGTTTTCACCACAATTTGAACATTTAAATTTCTTAGGATCTTTCTTCACAGGACAGTCGTCCTTTGCGTGAGAGGAATCACCACAATTCATGCATTTAGCTGGCATGTAGCAATTTTTAGTTCCGTGACCCCATCCCTGGCACTTACGGCACTGAGTGAGGTTTTGGAAATTTCCTCCAGTCTTCCTGAAGTGTTCCCACTTCACTCGGACATGGAGCATAAGGCTAGCTTTTTCTAAGGCCTTAAGGTTGTTTAGTTCACTAGACTTGAAGTGAACTAAATAAAAATCATTAGAAATCCCGTTGCACGAATCGCCAGGACGGGATTTCATTTTCATTTTGATTACTTGGAGTGGCACAACTCCAAGTAATTTTGCCAGTTCATCTTTGATCTGATCCAGGGATTCACCACTGGGCAGTCCTTTCATGACAACCTTGAACACACGGTCAGTTTTGGTATCGTAAGTAAAAAATTTGTGCTTCTTCTCAGTAAGATACTTGAGAAGACATTTAAATCCGTCCAAGGTTTCAGCCAATACACGGCATTCACCCCGACGTCCAATTTGTAGAGAAAACTTAACTTTCACGAAGTTCAAAAGTTCCATGCGAAGAGCATGGAAATCGGAAGCGGTTATCACAATAGGGGGAATCTTTTCCTTCTTGGCATTAAGCCGGGAAAGTTTACTAGAATTTTTCTTGGATGATGGATCATTCTCATCCGTGAGCAAATCAAATTGATTACTCAAATTAATTTCTTCAGAAGGGGGGTCAAGAGTTTGCTTATTTCTTTTGCGTTTAGGCGCCATGGCGGCAGTAAGTTTTTATCCAAATCGACTTCCAAGCAGATTACTATAAGAATCTGAAGGATCGAAGAGGAATTTTCCAAATCGATATCCAAGAAGGATTACCTCGGGTAGGGTCCAAACAAGGATCGAAGAGGAATAAAGTTGAACAAGGTAGAAATTTTACAGGTTGAGCACTGAAAAGTGCTGTTTAAATTTGTTGTAGCTTTAGGTAGTTGTAACACTTCCTTCAACAAAAAGCAAATAGATCCGCACGGCAAGAGAGCACGATGCGGACTCTGATGATGATTCGTGGTAATTTTATGTTAGGGTTGTCCTCCATATTGGAGAACAAAGAGGTGCTTAAATCCCGTATGATCGTTATACCCCTTCCTCCCCTACTTCGGTGACATATGAACCAACATTTTGTTCAATATTGAAAGTACCGTCTTCTGATAAGGAAAAAAAAAACTGCCTGTTGCGTTGTCATAAAATGCAAACTTCACTCTATTCTCTGCTTCAGAGGCCTAATTTATTGGCATCTGTTTTATCCCACAACGGCTTGTTTAGGACCCATTTTCACAATTTATTAAATTCCAGGAAAAATACTTGAACCAACATTGAACCATTACCAAAACATTGAAATACTTGAAAAATTTATGATAAAGTATAATAGTCACATTTGTTTGACATATTTAAATTTTGCGTAGTTCTACGTCGTACTGCGATCGTTTCTAGGACACAACCCTTTATTATTTTTTTGTTTAAGCTACGTACGATAACAAACACTGTTTAGTCTCATTTTATTCGATTTCATACCTTACGTTATATTTCGTTTAATCTTATGAGATTATAAAATAAATGCATAAAACTGCCTTACCCGATATATGAATCACAGTTTTTCAAAGTTAAAAAAAAATGTGATTTATATGTGTAAGACCGCGGGCTGATTAAAGGAACAAGCGTGATAGGTTTTTAATGTTTTTATCATATCACAGCAAAAAATAAATTTCAATATCACATCAATGTGGATGCACTTCAATCGTGTCGAAAATATGGTGTAGTATTACTTGCCAAAAAGGACAAAATTATCATTAATACAGTGCACAGACTGACATTACGTTGCTTTTACTGCATTTGTTTATTTGTGTGACCATAAAAATTACATGAGATTTTTGACATGAATGAAGTGCATCCTCTTGGATGTAATATTAAAATCAATTTTTTGCTGTGTACAGGTGTATAGGAATTTCAAGATATCACCATTGTGTCATTTGTTCAATATTTCATCTCTCCGTTACAATGCACGAGCAAATCGAAATAAAATCTTTGGTCATCTCTAGAATTTTATCGTGCTGTTATATGGCTGTAATTAAGCTTTAAACGACTATTCAATTATGATACTCACACTTAGTTTCACTATACACTGAAACGCTTCGTTATTTCCACTAATTTGATTTCTTCTGAGCACAATTTTGTTCACCAAATGTTTTTTTCTTGATTTGTTTTCCGTCGACCTTGTTTTCCGTGCTGAGCACCAATGCTAACGGCGCCAGGGAGGCAGCTCCCACAACTGGATCCTACCTATCGACACATCCAACTCATGAACCGGGTACCAACGACTTAACTTCCCTGATCACAGATGTTATGCCTCATTCACCAAATTAAGAACCACAAACATATCTCAAGGCACTGAGTTCTTCACCTTACAACTGAGGACTCTGGATAAGGACTAACTTGACTTCACCGCCACATCGCTTTAATAAATGGATTGTGATAACTTATCTGCTCCGCAGCGTCGAATTCCGATAACGATAATAATACATAGAAAATCCATAATCTCGTACTGGCGAGCAGTCATTATCATTGACAGACTTTTGCGCGATAATGAAAAAAACTGTTTTCCACATACCGTATGCGTGATAATGTTTGCACCATTGTACAAATAAGGTTCCCGTTTTACCTGTATATACAATGCCTTGGTTTTCTTTGCATGCACGTAACCTATAGCTCATACCGTAGTAGGCTGTGTATAAAAGAAAATGATTTACTTAGTTTGACAGTTGCACCATGACGAAGTGGCAGCGTATTCGTGATTTGTCCCACGCGCAAATGTCGCAAAAAGACATTTCAATCGATTCATCGTTAGCGATTGAAACTAGAAACACGTTTTTTTTTTCACTGCGAGCTTTTCGACCAGTTTTATTTATTTTTTTTGCACATAACCCGGAGAAGTGTGATTTTTGTTTGTTTGAAGAGGAACTAATTGGAGTTTTGACGGGGAGAGAAGGATAAAACGGGAGTTATGCCGGGTTCGGGTAACCCGGGTGGCGGAGACCCACCTGATGGACAGAATGGAAAACAATGGCTAACATATGAATACGAAGCAACCGATACTGGACCATACAGAGTAATCGTGCAACGAGTTAACTTCAGTAAGGATGAACATATCAACAAGCTTGCCCTGGGAAAAGCCCTGATGAAGACAAAGGACTACAAGCTCAACGTGATCAACCTGAAACCAATGGGAAGAAACAAAATTCTAGTATTGGTGAAATCACATCACACTGCAAACAACATTCAAGCAAACAAGACACTACAAGAACAGAACTACAAGGCGTACATACCAAAACACTTTCTGACAGTGTCTGGCGTTGTCACAGGTGTACCATTGGAAATGACAATCGAAGAATTGACCGAAACCGACCGAAGAACAAGGTTATGAGGAATGCAACCTAAAAGTGAGATGTGTACAATGCCGACAGCAAGGTCACAAATCGGGGGATGTCGATTGCCCTGAACGTGCACGACAGAATAACCTCAAAATCGTTATGGCGAAAACGAATCTTACAACGATTGAAGCACAGGAACAGTATTCGATCTACACCCAAAATCAATTCAGTCTACTGGAGAATATGGAAGAATACCCTGCCCTGATTGATTCTTATGCGAATGTAGTTGAATATGTTGACAAACCAAAGCAAGTGAATCGAAATCGGAAACAGCAAATATCAAAAAGAACATCGGATCACGTAGCGGAGGCTTCGAACATCGGAGAGCTAATCGATGTGTTTAATGACAAAAAGCAGAAAACAGATCACAAACAAGTGGAAAATGGAGTGGCATTGTTTAACCGGTATAAAACAGATGAATTCGAAAAATTTCAATGGAAAATGAACCAGATGCTAGCAGTCCAGAAGCCGTACGAATTAAAACGGACAACCCAAAATGCAATGGCACAAGGAGTGCTGATGAACGAAGAAATGGAAATAAGCGAACATGAAGTGACCTCAGCACAGGTAAGCCAGTCGGTTGGGAACAAAATGACAAGATGTAATTATCACAAGCCTAATTAAACAATAATGCATATGTCATGTAAGATTATTCAGTGCAATATTCAGAGTGTAGAGAAAAACAAATCAGAGTTAACTAGAATCATGATAAGAGAAGAATATGACATTGGATTAATATCGGAAAGTTGGACAAAAAAGAACACGAAGAAAATAAGTATAAAATCCTGTATTATAATAATTATTATTGTTCACGAGCGGATGGATATGGTGGAACCAAGATTCTAACCCATGAGTCAATCAAGAGCAGAACAATTTCTATTAACTCCATGGATAACATCCAAGGTGTAGGAAGGCTTTTAACGAATATGGATCTTGCAGTAGTTTCGATTTACGTGTCACCCAGTGCATCGGCAATCGAGCTGAATTTTTTCCTAGAGAACTTGATGAAGGATGTAGGAGGTTTTAAAAAAAAATCGTAATTGGTGGTGATTTCAACTCGCACCATAGATTATGGGACAAGTATCACTCGGACAGTAAAGGAACAGTACTTTTTGATTTCATCAATAATGAAAATATTACCTGAAACGGCGCCGGTGGTGTAGTGGTAAGCGTGATTACCTCTCACCCCAGCAGGCCTGGGTTCAATCCCAGTCGGCGCCGCCGGGATGTTCTGAGGCATAACATCTCTGATCACGCCTTCCTTCGGATGGGAAGTAAAGCCGTTGGTCCCCGGTTCATGAGTTGATGGGTCTATAGGTAGGGTCCAGGTGTGGGAGCTGCCTTCCTGGCACGTCGGTAGCATTGGTGCTCAGCACGGAAAACAAGATCGACGGAAAAAAACAAACCAAAGGAAAATATTACCTTAATCAACAAGGAGGATCCTACTTATATTCCAGCGGAATTGAACAAGAAGCCGTCTACGAGCATGAGCATGAGCATGATTGACCGCCCACGGTTGCTACTCTGTTATTGCCAGATCAGCTGTAATTACACAGAGAACCAATAGACGATGCTTGGGACTAGCAATCATCCTCAATGTGTAAAAACTGGTGATCTCAAATTAGGCAATACCAGCGCCAGCCGCGCCTGAACGCAGGTCAAGAAAGGAATGGGTAGGAATGTGTTGACGTGACACTCGCTTTGATGGAAGCCGAGAAATCCTCTGCACTTCCACGAGGAGTCACTGGGATGTTGGGTAAGAGGGTAGGGTTTGCAGCAAGGTTCGTTTTGGTAAACGATAAGCTGAATTGATGTTTAAACGATAGGGAGGGGTTACTGTATAAATAAATAAAAAGGAATGATCTCAGCCAAATAACCAAGTGGAGCTGCACCAAAAGCAACCGGCCAAATTCATATTATATTATAATAAAATAAAAAGTAAATAACAATGATAGGCTATTTGATACACCTTCTGGTCCTTCAGGATCTACAGGACAACTATTTTCTAGAAATGAAAATTATAGTTGTATAATGATAGTTATATAGTGATCTAATGAGATTTTAAATATGTAAAATAAAACTAATTTACTAGTAATGCAATATATAAAATAATGTTAAATAAACAAGTATTACAAAATACAAATAAGCTCGATTTCAGTTAACCTCAATACATTCAACTGATTTCAACTTCTGATATTTTATTGGAATTGAAACAAACACTTTATTATGCACCATGGAATTTCTTAAGGCAATATGGAATGCTTTTTTTTTTTAAATATTGGTAAACTTTCATAATGCATCAATAGTCAGAAAAATCGAGGTTATTTGGACATTTAACAGTTTTTATGCAATTGTAATCATGCATTCCAATGTTTTTTTTTTTGTATTTTCCTGAACGAAGGCTGAAAATAGTGAATCATTATAATATTAATCTAAAAATGTCAAAGAGCTGAAAATAAACTTAAAGATTTAAATCAATGCGTCCAGCCTAAACGGAGGGCTCGCGAACACAATAAGTTTCCTCATCACTCATATGCAGAATTTGATTAAATAAGTATTTACAAATATACAAATAAATATATCAATAAGTTATGTAACTTTCTATCCTGGAAAGGAAAAATAAAATCGTTAATTTCACTGTCATATAAACGTTAAACATACATTAGAGAAAATCAAATGATGTTACGTTGCTTCTTCCAGTTGTGTTTTGACCCTGTTATAAATATTTATCAATGAATATTTAATAATAATATAATAGGACCTAGGATGTATTCAAACTCAAACTATATCAAGATGGAAATAAAATCATAGTAAATTATTCGTATACACCTAACCGTAAAAAGCCGAGGAACATGCATCATGCGACCGTGGTCATCACTCTGACAAATGAAACCATGAACGATGAACATACATAAATCTCGAATACTCCCCCGAAGGGACGCATCCACTCCCGCAAACAATGCATCCCATCGCCAATCCGGCGCAATCAGCATCCCACCCACGCATGCTAATACCACCATCAGATAGGAGAAATTTTCCCCTACCTGATGGTGGCGCCACAACGCGCGGGCGAGCCACCAACCACACCAAACCGACAATCAAACGCACTGCCCACAAAAGCAGACACGTCCCCTCGAAAATGCAATCAAGAAATGTGTAAGAACAATCTTCAACTGGAAGAAATAATAAACTTGCAATATTTTATATAAAGCTGAAAAATAAGGAGACACATTTGAAATAATGCAAAATAATATAAAACGATGCAATACAATACAATATAATATAATATGAAATGTATTGTAGGAGATATAGTGAAGTGAAACATTTGTGTAATCTATGAAATGCAAAAATAATATACATATAAAAATGTTTAAATTAATTTTGATGTTGGGGAAGTATTAGTTGCTACACAGTTTCATATGGGGTGATGATTTATTATGTCACGCTTTAATGGGGTAGGGGGTAATCGTGCATCCAGCTTTCGCCTGCCATGCAATGAACAACAGAGACACGTGACAACTCATACAGCTTCAGCGGATGATGGTCAATTCCAAATACACTAATGGTACCGCCTACGGCAACTACGATGAATTTGGAACTCACCATTTGTCTCGTCTATACAGTCATTACCAGCTCAACACACACATACATGCCCCTATCTCTCATTCATAATCGTCTCGTACAAGCAACTCGTTGAGAAGACTTTACGCACACTATTGCTTAGCCATTGACCACCGCAATTTCAAACGCATTATAGTCGCACACCAACCGTGTTGCAGTAACAAACATCAAAAAACTCGAATAAAATACAAACCTCCGTATCACCATACAACAAACCATTTCCATCCATCCGTATCCGATCGTCAGGGCGGACTTTTTTGGGTTCCTTCTCACTGCAGCCTTAATCATTTCCTTCGCTTTCCTCTGAATCCATGGCACTGACAATCTACCTTCCT